AAAACATCTATATTGATTCTGACTTTTCTACATCCAACTCACAGGTTTATCATTACTTTGAGAAAAAAGATTATTAATTTAACCCTTTTTAGAAGGGAAGATATGGTCATTTGTTCTGGGAATGTCATTTTCGAGCCTGAGATCTGAAAAACAGGCTCAGGGCTTAACAGGTTAATCGTTTTCGCCTCATTCTGAAAGAAAGAAGTGAAATTTGCCAACGTGACGGCCGTCTTGGTGCGTGGTGCAAGACGGGAGATGTAGTTCATTGAGCGGTTTCACACAAAAACCTGACAAAATTATCCTTTAAATTGACAAACACCATATGTGTAATTCGGGGCACAATNACATTTAAATAATCATAAGAACATGGCATAAACAACATACCATATCCAATATGAAAAAACATTGAAACTCTGTTATTTATTTGCTTTTCCCGGTTCATTTAATCAGTTGTGAGTGTGCTGGCATAAAATTTTATTATCTATATTCATGCATACTTTTACTTAATCACTCCCTTCAATGGAAGATGAGTGTTTACCAGAAATGGTGACCCAACCGCTTTGAGACCCACTGAAAACTTACACTAAGTTAACATCTAAACACTCAGTCCTTTACCTCACCTGAGCTTGTAGTTTTCAGCCTCAGTCTGCACAGCGAGGACTCTCTCCTTTTTCGCCAAGCTCTTACTCGTTAGCGAGCTCGCTAGCCCCGATGCTAACACCACAATACACCGAAACTGGTGCGCGCGCTCTTCTCTCTCGCTCGTGCACACACCACACACACACCTCCCGAGCTCAATGACACAGAGACCACTCGGGCGTTAGTGTCTCTGTATGAATAGTGGACCATGTCAGCAGGCCACATCATGTAGACAGCCAGTCACCCTTTGTGAGGCAGAGTCAGACCCACATTTGCGCAGCGTTGCGTTCACAATACATACATTAAAAAAAAAGATTCCTCAGGCCAGCAGGCCACTTAACAGGCCAGGCCACCGGGAAACCTCCCGGTCCTCCCGATGGCCAGTCCGGGCCTGATAACAGATACAAAAATAAGAATAATTAGGTCAGGAAACGTCAGGGGTCGATTCCAATTTTTTGCCAACCTGCATGCCTGGACTTATTTGCAGGACTTAATATTTATTTACAAATGATATTTTCTCATATTTTGCCTTTACCAAAATATGGCGCTTGCTGAGATTTTGATATATCACTAGTCCATATTGCAGTTTCGATACATTTCGATTAATTGTACAGCACTAATAAGACATGTTTTCACTCCTGTTGAGAAATGAATAGTCACAAAACCACCAAGTCTGCCTGATAGAGTAGAATATGGTCTATGTGGAGATCCTGTGTATACAAATATCCATACAACCTTATATTCATTACTCTTTTCCCCTGTTAGCTTCATATGAGGCTTTTAACTTCTACTTATACACATGTAATTATGCTTTCATGACAGTCAGCATGTCTTTCCATCAACTAAACTAATTTTCATTTGTGTGGGAAGTATGTTACAGGAGTTGGCTCAAATACTCATACGCTGCATCTTGTAAAGCAAAGGCAGGCCCAACAATGCCAGTAACATATATTTTCAGTTTTGTTTTTCCTCCAAAGTATAGTCTTTCTTGTCTTCTAGAGTGAGTTTGTGGTGGAAAATGAAATAATGATGAACAGGAGAGTGTAGTAAAATGTATCTAACAACCCTGTTTTCCCTTTGCATTATTATAGGTAGCAACCTGGCAGAGAAGCCTTTTGTTGAAGCACACTGCAATTTTGAACAACCAATAACAGACTGATAAATATTCTCAAAGTTGGGAGGTGTTTGATTCATAAACCTTGCTTGTACCCAACTCTGAGAGCTCAGACCAAGAGTTAAATTAAGCCAAACCACCTTTCTTATAGCTTTTCACAAACAGAAAGTAATTTAAGCAATTACTAAAACAACAGATGAATTCACCTGTGTGTGTGTTAAAGGTGGGGTAGGTAAGTTTGAGAAACCGGCTCGAGATACACTTTGTTATATTCCATGGAATGCTCTTAACATCCTGATAGCAATGAATATCTTAAGTGCTTTGACAAAAAATCCATTAAAAAATGTCATCTGTGGAAGCCGTAGTACTGTAAAAAGCACGACCAATCATTTTAGCCGGCCCGGCTAAAGTAACTGGATGGCCTACCTGCCTGTCAGCCTTCCATCTGTAAGGAAGTGGTAGATTTTTTTCGGCTGTATATTTTCAAATTCTAGCACACTCGAGCTGGTTTCCCCCAAATTACCTACCCCACCTTTAAATCTGACACACAGACAATGTATAGGATGAGTTTCACAAGATTAAGACTTAAAAGCAAACCTTTGTTTGTCTGTTTCCTTCTCTCCGTCGTTGTCCTTTTTCTTACTTTGGGGCTCCTCTCTGGTCGGTGCTTCAATGAAAGGTTTCTGGGGATTTAAAAAGGGAAGGAAACTGAATAAGAGGTGAAATAATATGATGTTTGTCAAGGTCAGTGGGTAACATCACCAAAGGAAAAAAAAACAGAAATAGAAAGCTAGATATTTGTTTGTACCTGATTTCAAATAAGTATTACCTAGCAAAGATGTAGAGAATTGAGACAGATGTTATAATAAGGGGTGTTTTAGTTTATGAGCAACTGACCTTGTTGTGGCCTTCTTCATCAGCAGTTACGTTTCTTTTCTCTACAGAAGACCCTCCTTTGCTCGGGGAAACTTTTGGCGTTTCCTTTATGCCCTTAGCCTGATCTTTTTTAGGTTTCTCTTCCTGAAAGACACAAGCAAGAGATATTTTTTAAACCAAAAAACCCTTGCAACATTTGCTATAACAACAAAACCTTGGTATGGACAAAAGCATACTCAAAATACTAGTTTTTTTTAACCAACCAACCACCAACCTTTTATTCATCAACACAGGAGGCCACCTGTTGATAATGCCCTCTGGGTGACTCAAAACATTACACTATTGATAAATAAGGCAGTACATCACACAAAACTGACTATAGAGAGGCGAAGTCCGTCCCTTTCCGGGGGCCCTCCATTGGACCTTATTTCGGAAAAATTATGTATTGAAGTCAATGGCGAGAGAAAGATTAACTTTCGATTCCGTTTGAATTGTGCCCCGAATTACACATATGGTGTTTGTCAATTTAAAGGATAATTTTGTCAGGTTTTTGTGTGAAACCGCTCAATGAACNTTTCATTTAACATAACGTTTCAACAGATAGATTCATCAGACTATTTCCACGCACCCATCTATTCATTTATCCACGTCCATTTCATATTCCCTTTTTCCTTTTTTAAGGAAAAAGGGAATATGAAATGGACGTGGATAAATGAATAGATGGGTGCGTGGAAATAGTCTGATGAATCTATCTGTTGAAACGTTATGTTAAATGAAATAAAAAATGTTGTATTAGTGAGCCCCGCTTAATATATATCAATATACTGACATTAACTTACTGTTCTCGGTGTCAATAAATATTTAAGAAATGACATGAACAACCAATCGCTACACAAGGCCTTTTAGGTGACCAGGATATTACAACAAAGGTTCAATTACAAATAGCCACGCCTTTAAGAAATTATATGTCACTTGAATGTGACCATAATTTACTAAATGAACAACACACTGTACTGATGAAGATTTAAAGTTTGCGATTAAGGCCAAACTCACGGGGAATGTTTCCTGAGATAACAAATACATTGAGAATCTAGTTCATTTTCTCATGGACTTTTATACAATTGGACCTCTTTTTGCATCCAGTGGAGCCACCTCCTGTCGGCCATTAAAAATAATGCAGTCTGAAGGCACTTTCATTGTGGTTACTCTTTTTAGACCCATTGGTTGCCCCCTTGAATTGTACACAGTGATGAAAACAAACGTTGTTGCATGTGGTCAGTAATGTCAGCTGGCTAAGTCAGCATGGCAGTAGACTCTCTTTTGGAGGGTTTAATAAGCCACTTCCACTCCCCCATAATTGGTTTGAGATGGCACTCTATACGGCGTAACCTTCACATGCAGGTGTAAATGGAGTGGAAGTAGGGAGAGGGTGTAGGGGCCGGGAAGTTGGGTCAATAATTAACTCCACCAGGAAGTTGTAGGTATACTTTTTCTATTACTTTAGCGTCTTTGAATTGTTCACTTATGCTAAAATATAAGAGAAGCACAAGTAGTACAACGGGTTAGTGTTTCTATTCCGTTTTTGCACATAATTAAATAAATAACTGCTTCATTAAATGTGTTGTTTACACTGTAAACAATCTAAAATAAACCTAAATGAACCCAGTTGCTTTACACAGACCACATGACATATAATAGAACTGAGAAAGTAAGTGTTTCTTATTTGTTAATTATTCTATTTAGAAAATGGCCTCCGTATAATTAGCACCTGCACGCCTTAAGAAGACAAAGTGAATACCACCTGAATATAAAGATGTGACATTCACAACTCCTCCCTTTCATTGCTGCACACAAAACAGATAAAAGAACATATTAAATGCACTGTGTCTCGCACCGTGAAGGCGAGCCTAAAAGAGATTGTGTGAACTCCCTGCCACACCTCCCAATTCTATTCCTCCTCCTCCCTTATCTTCAAAGCGGGAAGAAAAACTCCAAGAACAGGGTTTAGGTCCCAGGAGATACTCAAACAATGAGATCCTCTGACTGCTGCATGTCATATTTCACAATTTAACCTCCTCGGATGATAGTTGAAGGTGGATTAGAGCACATCATTATCAGAAAGATTCTGATTTTCGATTTAAATGTAAATCAGTCTCTTTTTTTTCAATTATTATTGTGCTGCATAACTTGAGGTGTGGGAGCAAGAATTGATAGGTTTCACACTTAAAAGGGGCCCTTTGATACATTTAGAAAAGTCTGTGAAGCAGCGTGTTGGGGATTCATTGAAAACTTGTACTGATAGTCATACATCAGAAATATCTAATCTGATTTCTAGAAATTGTTGGTCATTTTTTGCAACATAACTGATACAATCAGAAGGATATGCTTATTCATTATGGGTTTATTAGGACATTATAAAATGTATTCAAGACATTTTAAAATAACCAACCAAGATGATCCTTCACCATTAAATCTTCTGACATGTTTCAGAAGTCTTGATGGGTATTTTGGCATTATTCCACCAATCAGAACTGTTAACACAAACATTTTTTTTTTAGAGGAACTTCATTGTGCGTGTCCGGCAAGGCACTGCTATTGTGATGAACATTTCAGACAGCAGATGTTATCATTGAATTGCCCACAGCAAAGCAGAGCCCACAGTGACCAATATACATATCTGTCAGGAGTCAGGAGAGTGTTCCGTGATGGAAGAGGTCCAAAAATACTTCACATATCAAACCAAAAAAAGATTCACTTCACAGTGATACTATGAAACATATCTGCCCCAGTTTACCCAATCGAGTACACTAACGGACTCCCTTTATAGAAAGACTAATTGCACGCCCACGCAAAATACCCAGTGTTTAGACGCACGTTACCCATCCAGGACGCATCCAATGATTCCCCAGCTTGCACCTTGCATATGATGCAACCTATTAGGTTTAAGTTGTAGCAAACATTTCCCTCAGAATGATTGAAACATGAATCCATATGAATGTGATCACATCTGTTTGAAAGGAAGCATTCTCACACATGTGATTTCATGTATTGAACAGGATGCATAGATTGTAATATCCTCATTGCATTGTGTTAACCGCAGTAGCAAGTGTTCTTCTGTCTCGTCTTTATATAGTAATCTTATATCCAAACATTAACTAGCTCTCAAATTGATAATGATAATATGTCATACATCTTCAATCACTCTTGGGTCGTGCTACCGACCCCTTGGCCACGTTTTGGTATGTGTGTAACTCTTTACATTATGATTGCAAAAGATTAATGTATGTCAAACATCTGACAAAAAAATGTGTATAGTGGCTGTCGCAGGACTGTATTAAGTCTTTCATGTCATTCAGCTTAAATAAATTGTCATATGGTTAATGTTCCTTTTTACTTATAGTGAAAACTACCCTTGGATGATGGGATGGTAGACTAAAAGCTTTAGGAATCCAAAGTACAACATATAATAAGTACCCTGTATCAAGATTGATGCAAAACAAGCAGGCCCGGACTGGCCATCGGGAGGACCGGGAGGTTTCCCGATGGCCTGGCCTATTAAGTGGCCTGCTGGCCTGAGGAATCTTTTTTTTTATGTATATATTGTATTGTGAACGCAACGCTGCGCAAATGTGGGTCTGACTCTGCCTCACAGAGGGTGACTGGCTGTCTATATGATGTGGCCTGCCGACATGGCCACTTTCATACAGATCATACACTAATGCCCTTGATTGGTCTCTGTGTGTCATTCAAGCTCGGGAGGGTGTGTATGTGTGGCGCGAGCTAGCGAGAGAGAAAGCGTGCGCACCGGTTACGTGTAGTGTTGTTGTTAGCATCTGGTGCTAGCTAGCTGCGCTAACGGATATAATGAGCTGTCAACAAGGTGGAGGAGAGTCCTCTCCTGTCAGACTGAGAGACTGATAACTACAGCTCAGGTGAGGTAAAGGACTCTTGAGTGTTTAGATAGTTAACTTAGTCTAACTTAGTCTAAGTTTTCAGTGGGTCTCAAACGGTTTGGTCACCATTTCTGTAAACACTTATTTCCATTTGAAGGGGGAGTGATTAGTAAAATATGCATGAATAATAGATAATAAAATGTTATGCCCAGACACACTCACAACTATAAATGAACCAAAAACAAATAAATAAACAAGTTTCAATGTTTTTTCATATTGGATATGGTATGTTGTTTATGGCCATGTTCTTATGATTATTTAAATGTATACAGTTCTGTTTCATATGGGTTGAGTCTCTCTTTATTTCCCCCTCAAAGTGCCCCAGATTGATGCATTTAAGTCCAACATTTAAAAAAAAAAAGAAGATCTTACCGGGGGAGCATGGCCCCGGACCCCCCTAGACGATTTGAGGTCCACCTCCACTTAAAATATGTTCACATGGATAGGTTCCTAAATAGATTTGCACTTTAAAAAAAAAATAGTAACCCATGTCCATATGTTTATTCTGGGGTAGTAGATTTAAAGTTTAGGGCTATCACTATGGGCAGCAATGCTGTAAATATTGACAAATAAACCCTGGAAAATGGCATAAAAGAAAACTGGTAGTGTCCTGGCTGGGTGTATAATTCCCAGCCTGATTTATTGTCCCAGTACGGCCCTGTCTGTTATTGAAATGATGTGGCACATTTTTCGTAGGTTTACACGTGCTGTTTCATACGCGTTTATTACCAGCATATCACATAATCCCACTTCCGCCTTAAAATCGGTATGCTTTATGAACACACTACGTCGATGATAAAACGGTGTCGTATAAAAAACGTAATGACTTTCCCATCAGGCGAATGATGAGACTGCCTTGAAGCCGGTGTGGCTCCATGGTGTGGCTGAGGAGATACGGGTCCTTTTTTTTTTTTCATATAGACGATCTTTTTTTCATCCGTTGAAACATGGCTGTGTTCCGACGATGGCTTTAGCTACAGATGCTGGCCTATGGTTCTCCATACAGCGGCTTAGCAGAACAGAAAACTAGGGGGTTTGTGTGCCGCAGGGGTTGGTTTCAGACATGAATGCGTTCATGGAGGAGTATTCTCCGGTGGGAGGGAGGTAGGGGGGAGAGGCGGCTCGGTGCGACGCAGTCACATTAGCTACAGTAGCATTAGTACGCTTCGTTTTAACCCGGCGCAGTTTGTCTTAAATGTGTAGTTACCTCCGAAGTACATTTAACTCGAAATGACTGGACATGTTCGCATGAACACGCATGAGGATGACATGAGAACGTGAGGCGCGCGCTCTTTTGTCAGGTATTGCGTGTCGGTCTGCGAGGAGTCTGCTGTGCTCTGCATTCATCGCCTCAGTCCTTTGACCCCATTCAACAATTAACATATCAGTGAAACAACATAGTGACTGTTAAGCTTAACCTTGTTTGTGTGTGTATTTCAGAATTTGTATGCCTTTTTTTAAATTGCTGTTTTTTGTTTCTTATAAGGGAAATCAATATGTATGTTGAGGGTTTCATGACTGTAACTTAAATGTAGTTTAATGAGATTTAGATGAAGATAAAAGTTGTGCTTTTAAATATTTAGACTGTAAATATTGTATATTTTAAATTTTGTAACAAGGTACCTCACCATTTTTCATAAATCTGAACTCTGCTTCTGTGAAACTGTTATTACATGTAATTTCACTTGCTCTGCCTTGGTAAAACAATGTATATCTTGTTTTTCAAATAAATATGTTCTATAAATAAATAATAAATAAATACTTTCTTTTATGTGTCTTTCACACTTTTCAGGCAGGTGAAGGATACTGCCATGGCAGAGCCAGAGAAGCTTCCAGAGACCAGCGAGGAGGTAAGACTCCTGAAGAACCATGAATCATCCTGGGCCTCAAAGCTGTCTGTAGCTCAGGACTTGTGGAAGGACCCATTTCATTTGTTTTATAGTTGAATCGTTTATAGTTAAGTTTTTATTAACCAGGATATATTATACAGTATAGAACATTTTACTATATTATTTTGTTAGAAATATTTTCTTTACAATTAAAATACATATCCACTAGATGACTTTATGAGCCCTAATCACGAGTTGTAAAATGTGCTTAGGAAATTTAATTTTATAATATGGATATGGCTATATGTAAAAAAAAAAAAAAAAATACTTTTACTGAAACAGCAAGGGTATGTTCTCACTGTGGCTGATATTTAAACCCTAAATGATTGCTTTGTTATAAAGGTGCTCATGCCTCTTCCATTGCCCCTATTGGTACCTGCATACTACCTCTGCCACTACTACTTCTACTACTACTGCTACTGCTGCACCTGTTCCACTGTCCCCAAGAATCCAGAGTTGGCCACAGATAAGCCCCCAAGGCTCAGAGGGACACCCCTGGCAACAAAGGCTGCCTCATTTTCATGGATATGGCTGGCAAGAGCTATTGAATGGACTAGAACATGCAAAGAAGGGGTCGGCTAGTCAACGTTGCCCACCTCTCTTTGCCCGTACCAATTTATTGGGCCCTGTGCCCTTAAAATCAGCATCGAGATGAACAAGGACTTGTTCTCACATCAAGTCAAGGTTGCTGTGAAACAGTCAGTAGTTTTTGTACTATTTCACTTGGTACAATCTGAACCCCTTTGCAGAGAAACATGGGGCATCATGGACATGTCATTTGTGAAGCTTGGTGAACTGTCACATGCTTGACAGAGGACATTTTGGATTCGGTTTACTCTCTTGGAATGGGATTCAGAAATCAAGACATCTCTTTGATACTAAAAGCGTTTTTAAAGAGACCAAAGCTTTTACCTGGACTTAATAAGATTGATTTGAACTGAAGAAGGACTTAACGTTTTGGGTTCGTTTCTACAACAACCTTCTTCAGAGTTCTCGCAAACGTACGACTTTTCATGCTCTACGCCATGAACAGTGCCTTAAATAACTGAACACTAACATCACGTTTTGGGAATTGTGTGCACAATGACTTTTAACTGCCTCCAACACCTGGCCTTCAACTCATTGGACCCATTGTTGTTACAAGAGCCTGCCACACTTTGAAAGACTAATGCCAAAACACCTGAGGATGACTGCTTTGGCCAAAAGCATTTCAAAGCCCCTACTCAAATGAACTCTTGATCCCATCCTGCCAGCAAGCACGCTTTCAGATTTCCATCCAAACATCTCAGCCACCTTTGATTGGACCCTTGTTGCCTAGATACAGTACATGCAGTCGTGATTGGGCCATATCCAAACCAGTAAGGATCAGGTGTCAGTGGTACCAGGGAATAAGTAGACATTTACTCAATGTTATATTTCATAGTTATTTAGAAAATAAATGCATAGTTTCCAGTCATACTATATAGTCTTTGCTGCGAGTAGCAGCGTTGAAAAGTCTTATCCTATTTATAGACACTCCAGTTCAATAAAAATTGTTGTCATCTTTAACCATACTCAATTCCTGTGAAACTAGTTGGAGTTTTATAGAAACTAAGAGAATAATCTAAATCTAAACTGCAATATTTAAACCAGTTACTTTTTCTCTATGATGGAGACTGCAACAGTTTTATCCTCAAGCAAGTTATAATCGATAATCTTTACATTTCGATTTTGAAATGATTATGAATGGAATGCACTTAACTACCAGTACAGTAGAAACACCGCGTGCTGCCATTCAGTAGGCTTGAGTTTAAAAAATACATTTCACAGCAGTTTCTGCCTCCATTCTCAGCCCCAGCTTCCTGTTATTTTTCCACTTTTCCTCCAACCTGTCCTTGACCACTTGGTAGCAGCTTCTCACCTCACCCATGTTTGGGGTTGTTTTTATCTTCTTGTGTTACAGACACCAAAGGCCTTCTCAACTCGTAAGATCTCTATTAGCAGTAAGTACACCCTCCCTACTTGCTCTCTTTACCGACGATTATAATTAGGGATGTGTAGTGTATTTATAACTTCACATTTAGTTGTCTAAACCAGCACTAGTGAAATACCACAATTCTCGATGACTAGTCAATACCCAAAATCATCCCACGTGCTTCAAAATGCACTCCATTTTTATTGTTTGAGTACTGTTGCTATTAAGAAAAATTCTCTTCAAACAGTAAATCTGGAATGGATTTTTGCCAAAGACAACATTACATTTGAACACATAGTAACATTATAATTGACCTTGATCCATTACAGAATTTTACTAAATAGTGCTTCAATGCACCTTATACAAGTCAGTAGTACTGCTAGTTCCAATTATAACCACTAACATTCACTAGCTGTATTCCTGCTGATTTGAACCCAACACAACATTAACATGGGAAACATGTATAGTCTCCTGGACAAGGTATTGTGAGAATAGCTGGGGAAAAAAAAGGGCTAGAGAAAATCTGTGGTCCAGGACGCATAGCCAGACTTTGCTTAAGGAGCCAATAAAAGCAGTTTAAATGTAAACCATTTCGCAGTGTATGCGCGAAAAACGACTGCCACATTTTCAGAATAATTACACCAACTTGGTCCCTTAGTATTAGTTCTCGTGACATGCCTCTTTATAACTGATCGTTTGGTTTTGTGCATCTTTTTTCATTATGTAAGTGTTAAAGGGGAAACAGGGCCCGACATTATAAATGGCCCGCTGGCCCGGAAGCACTTCGTTTTCCACAGACCTTATTTCCAGCTATTTTCCAAAACCCTGTGGAGAAATCCCATTGCTTTTTGTCGAGGGAACCAGCGGCTTACTTCCTGGTTTTATGACGCGTCACTGGCTGCACCTCTCAATATGATGCCAATATAAAAAAGGTCTTCTGAAAATAGTAGATAGAGTAGAAAATATAAAGGTATTGGCTATAGGGAAATGTCTCAGCAGTTTAGGATAATGAAGGATCTAATCTCATCTATAGCCATTACATTTCTAATTCCTAATGACAGGAAGGCAGAAAGTGCATTATACAAATAATAATACTCATAATAGAAGACATTTTTTAACAATGACCACAATATCATTATTTTAATAAGCCAAATATGAACAATTGAGGAAAATGAGGAAAAACTGATTATTCAAATGTTGTAGTACAAGTAGTAATGTAGTTAGTGCATAAATTACTATTGCAACAAATGTGTTAATTTTCTTCCTTATTAGTCGATTTTCTTTGGACGAATGCTCCGGGCCAGTGGTTACAATGGTGGGGCCAGTGATACTACAATTCCACCGGCCCGGAGGGCCAGTGGCTTTTTACCCTTAATGTCTACCCCTGGCAATATTCGTAAAGGAAATTCTAAAACATCTTGAACGTTGGTCGCATGAACATCCATAGTTTAAAGAAAACGTTGCTACAACGCTGATTTGCAAGCTAAGGATGTACACAACATGTGCCAAAGGATTACATTTTATTTTTATTTTTTTCTCGTCTTACCAGGCAGTAAATCGTCCCCGGGCACCGGCGGTGCAGAGGGTGAGCAGGACTCTGGGGCTGCAGCCGGGCGCAAGAGGAGGTGGGGATCCAGCACAGCCGTCACCGCCAAGAAACCTTCCTTCAGCATCACCACGGAGTCACTGAAGGTATTTGCATCTTAGTAGGGCTGTTCGCAACAAGAACTATAAAGTTGGTTATTCAAACTCGAAGTGAAATGTCAGAGCCCCTGCTACATCTTAAACAAAAGTAGCAAACAATATCGTATGACTCACTTTAAGAGCAATATGATGAACGATATACACAAAAAAATACTTCTATAGTATAATAGGTGTTCTTGTTCCACGCAGGAAGTCGGATTTGGACTTTAAACATTTATTCTATCAATAATAACTCTTTTTACTTGCCCCCATGGTGCTAAAAGACGCACAGCAGTGGTCGTTTTATTATCATTTTTTCCAAATCTTTCCAAAGCAGCCCTACTTGAAATATGTAATTCTTGGTGTAGACAGCACTTAGCGCTGATATTGCGTTGTGGTTGCTAGTAATGCTTTTTAGACGGATAAATGCACTATGAGGCACTTTCCAGGTTTCTGTCTTATTTGTTGAATATAGGCACACATTCATCTTGTGATTTATCTCCGTTCTTTCCCCTTCAGTCTCTGATCCCAGACATTCGTCCGTGCCTCGGTCAGGAGGCCATAGTGGACCTGCACCCAGAGGAAGCCGCCCTCTCCGGTGCTGAGGAAGAAGAGAGGGAGCGCTCTGACCAGGACCTACAGATCCGACGAACCGTCACACAGGTCGGTATACCACTGTTTAAAATGCAAAGCACTATTTGAACATGAATTTCCTCGTCAAGAGCTTTTTTTGTATATAAACATTTTGCAGGTGGTGCACCCGGAGAGCCAGGAGAATGGACAGAAGGAGGTGAAGAGGAGCAAACACGAGGAGGAGGAAGAGGATGTGAAGGGAGACAAAGAGAGGACAAGAGCGCACGAGGAGAAGGACAGGAACGTGATGGAAACCCAGTCTCCATCACACACCAGCCGTGAAGTAGAAATGAACACTGGTAATGGAAACTTTAAAAGATGTTCTTCATCTAGCATTAAACTCAGACAAATGTAAAAGTCAGCACACTGTACCTTACATGCTGCGTTGACATCCAGTTGTATTTTGCTGACATTTTGTTGATTATTGTATGTTCTTGGTTCCAGTGACCCCAGGCGACACCCTCATCCGTCGCTCCATCAGCCAGCAGAAAACGGGTGTTTCCATCACAATCGATGACCCTGTTCGCACGGCCCGGCAGCCCTCACCACCCCGCGGCAAAGTCTCCAGCATCGTTCACATCAGCAACCTGGTAAGAGAAAACTGGCCTACATAGTCCAGAATGCAACAGCCAGGACCTCTATTGTTTTTTTACTGAAGACGCTTATTGACCTCCTTTTTATATAGGTGCTAGCTTATTTGTTTCTAAAGGTCTAGATTTCTATTATATACTTTTAGTATCAACCAATAATGTCGGAAGACCTAATCAAACACAGAAATGTTATATTTTTCTGTAAAGCCACAATGAAATGCATAAAAGAGTTCTGTGGCATTGAAGCATATGATATGTATGTGAGGCTTTGGCAGGTTATAAGGATTTGTCCTTTTTATCTAAGAATAATTCAAATGATGCCATGATTGTCCCTAAGGACAGATTTGATCCGGATCATCTATTAAGCACCTGTTCTTATAACCTCACAATTTCCTTGAACCCCGGTTCAATGTACAGTTTTTATTCATGTTCATCTTTATGCTGTTTACAACATACATGTTGTGATAAGTGCTCTGTTATCCTTTGTTTAGGTGAGGCCGTTCACTCTGGGGCAGCTGAAGGAGCTGCTCAGCAGAACCGGCACCCTGGTGGAAGAGGGCTTCTGGATTGACAAAATCAAGTCTCACTGCTTCGTCACCGTGAGTTGTTGCTAGTGGTAGATCTGCGTCGGACTGCTTTTGGCCCCCCGAAGTTTTTCTCTGTCTTAACATCTTTTTCTGTGTTTAGTACTGCAGCTCAGAGGAGGCCGTCGCTACTCGTGCAGCTCTCCACGGGGTGAAATGGCCTCAGAGCAACCCAAAAGTCCTTAGTGTAGACTTCTGCCAGCAGGATGAGGTAGGACCTTATTGTTATTTATCCTTATTTTTTCTTACTCCCACAATGCTAAGCCATCTGTAGCCTGAGCGTATCTCTGCTTTGTAGTTGGACTTCCAAAAAGGCTTGGCCAACCGACCCGGAGCAGAGGAGCCCGGCCGCGGCCGAGCGTCCGGCCTGCCCTCTCTCTTCCCCGAGCGAGAACAGTGGGCCGAGCGCGAGCGAGAGATGGAGCGCCGAGAGAAGGCCAGGGCGGAGCGGGAGTGGGACCGCGACAAGGTCCGAGACTTCGGCAAACCCGGCGAGGAGAAGGATGGAGACCCCCAGAGGTCACTCTCCAAAGAGAAACGCCGCAAAGAGAGGGCAGAGGGCAGGGAAAAGAAGTCTGAGAAGAAAGGTGAGAGACAAGACTATTTGCTACATTATGTAAAAAAAGGCTTTTGTTTAACAGAACGGAAGCAGTTAAGTTATTCGTCCATTAACAGAAAATGAATCTTTAATTATTTTTGATAATGTTTAATTCAATTCATTAAAATAAAAATTCCAAGCTAAACTGTTAAATGTTTCCACCTGCTCATTTGTAAGAGAGTTGAAGATGCCACCGTGAGCTTTTTGATAGTGTCACTAGTTTATAAAGCAAACGTTTAATTCAGATATAATGGCTGATAAATAAGCAGCTGGAGCTCTAACGTTGATGTTTCTTTGCAGATAAAACAGCTGAGGATCCCCCGGCAAAGCTGCTTGATGATCTTTTCCGCAAAACTAAAGCAGCTCCTTGCATATACTGGCTTCCACTTACAGACGACAATGTGAGACACACGGAAGTTAATACTTTTTTAATGCTCAACTATTATCACACGGCCTAGATATCTAATCAAGACTGCACTTAAAGACTTCAATTATTCATCTGTGCATTCTTCTTCGTTGCAGATCGCTCAACGGGAAGCTGCCAGGGCAGAACGGATGAAAGTGCGCGAGACACGGAGGAAGGAGCGGGATGAGGAGGAGGAGTTGAAAAAAAGGGAAGAGGAGCGCAAGGAGAGGGTGAAACCTGCAGGCGGCCAAACCGCAGAGCGGAGCGAGGGTGAGAAAGAGAAGGAGAAGGAGAAGAGCAGGGACAGAGAGAGAGACCGAGGTAGGGAGAACGACAAACGGAGGGATGGTTACCGTAGGCCAGAAGGCCGCGGGGGCCGACGCTCCCGCAGCCGCAGCGACCCTCGAGACAGGCGGCGTTAACGGCCAATCAACTGACGGGACTAAGACCACACCCTCTTCCATTTGCCTTTCACTACATGTACTTTGTTACAACTAAGATCCAATAGAGGACCAACTGATGTCGCCACCATCTCTCAAATTGTCACCTTTTTTAAACAAGCACATCCACACCTACACGCAGTCGGGCTTAAAAGGGGACCATGTTTTTTTTGCAGTGTTGTTTCCCAGAGTGCCGTGCGTGGCGCTTCAGTCAAGATTCGATATATTTTCTTTATACGTTTGCCTCTCTTCTTCTTAAGTTTTTTTGTCTTGACTGTTTCGCAGTATGACACGCTGGGTCATTTTAATAATTTCCCGCCATATGTTCCCCATTCGCCCCCAAAGTGTAGATGCCAATTATGATTTGCAATCACTTGTCGTTGCCTCTGTGTTTTTAACAGCTCTGAAATCTGGATGAGGAATCCTTTTGTTGCTGCATGTAGTCCAAGGCTCTTCTTGCCAGCCCTGCCTAAAGAGAAAACTGTCCTCCCTGCAGAGGCTTGCATAAATCTGAAAATATTGGAATAGGTGTGTTTGGCATTTTGTACAGACATATAAGATTAATTCAAAATCAAGTCTTTTAAATGAGGCAGCTCTGGGGTATCTTCGGACAGGTGTGGAATTACTTCTAAGGCAATGCAGTGTTCTTCTCTCCCTCTGTTTAGTTAAGAGATGAGACAATTCTCTGTCTGTCACGCCTGTCACAAGTTATGATTATGTATGTATCATCGCTTCTCTTCTTCCTCCTCTTCCTCCTCCCTGTAGCTTCAAGGGGGAGGTTCATTATGAGTTTTCTCAACAATGGTTTTAATATTGTTTTTTTAATCTTTATTTTATCATGTTAGTAAAAATGTTTTTGTTTTGTTTTTATTTCTTCTTTGAGTACGCCTATCAGTGGTGAATGTACAAATAATAAAAATTGAAATTTGAAATTACTGTGACGTTTTTTTTTTCCCCATTCTCCCTGCTAATTGGATTTGTAGTGAAATTATTCAGTTGGTCTGGTTTCAACAATTTGAATTTCTAACTAATTACTGGGTTTTAAGTTCAAGCACATTTAGATCTGCGGTAACACTTATAATCCACAAGATGTCAGTCACACCACATGACCGGGGCCAGAGCGGAATGACTTTATCCAGTCAAGTACAAACTAGGACTTTAAGGAAAATAATGCTTTATTCAGGATACAGCAGAACATTCCACTATCTCTATATTGGAGAACTTTTCCTTAAATTTCATGTCTAGGTGATTAGCCTTGTGCATTAGCACTGTTGTGGTTTCCTCCAAATCAGGAGTGATACCTTCCCTTCCTTCACTCTGCTGTAAATACCATAGAGGAAGAGAAGTATCTTGTATTCGCCCTCTTCTGTTCCCTTGTTCCGTCTCCGGGCTTGACGTTGATCCTGCAGAGCTCAGCAGTGCTCCTCTGTAATTACAGCCCTATGGTCGCTGAGCAGAACATTTTTCTGCCCTGATGCAACGCAGTGTGTCTGGACTCTGGGAGGACAAGTGAATCCTTCACCCTGCCATCTCTCTGGCAACAAGAACATTTTCTAACTGAGGAGGTGGAATGAGAACACGGAGAAATATTCTGTTTTTCATCTGCTAATGAATGTTTTATCAAGCAATCATGTGGAGAAAAGCACACACGTGTCTGCGTGTGCTGGGGAGTTAGAGGTTGAAGTTTAGGGCAGTGATGATGTGTTGGCCAAATTGAAAGTCAGAAGAGATTGTTTGTGGTGCGACTGAGGACAGTGTGTTAGGGTTATAAAGCAGGACTGCAGTAAAAGAGGGCGCAAGTTGACTGAAAGTCTGCAAAATTTGAAAATGTAGGTTAAAAGTTCTGCTACAACCCAGCCCCACCTTAATTGTTGCTGATTTGTTTTTCCCAGTGAAACAAGCTGAAACATTCACGTATACAAAGTTGTTTTAGCAAACGGCTGCCCATTTTTCAAAATTCAGCAGCAGTTACCTATTTCTCATAAAACTGGTGACCTGAAAAATTCCAGTACAATATTCCCTCTGCACTTTTATCTAGCTAGTTGATGACTGTCCGCTCTTTAGCACTGGCCAGGTAGAGCAAAGTTGGTTTATCATATATTTTTCACCAAAACCGCTGCCTTGACCGAATCTTAGAGGACAACATGTTAAGGTTATTTCCACCAACTTTAACAGATTATTTGTGTTTTTAAAAGAATATACTGAGTACACTGAACCAGTGGTCAGAAACTTTGTGGTGTTAGTCCAGTGCCATCTAATACCAAAACCTTTTGCTAGCCATTACTGGTATGTCTACCTTGGCCAGAAGTGACGTTGGTTGCTAATATCAAATATATTTATGAACAAAATTAATTAAATCTTATAGTTTGCGACTGGCAGCTACTGGATCAAGAGATCCAAGATGATATTCTTGACAGATTGCACACTACATGTCTGTTGACTGTAAACACCAATGGTTCAGACTGAAACATACCCTGTCCTACATGACCCCATCTGTTTACACTTGAATCAAATTCATATTTGTCTGCTTTCATATGATTTTCCCTGCCTTACAGGAAGTGACTTAATCGAAACCCCAAAGTGTCTATCCATAGTGTTTGCTTATTCCACATGTTACTATTCACTAATTCTAACAAACTCTTAAAACAGAGCCTGTGATTTGTGGAACAGCAAAAATACTTACAAAGTTATTTTTGATAACTTTTACTTTGTTTTTCTTTAAATCAAGTTTATTTTACTATGATCAGCAAGATAAAATTACTGTTTCCGTCAATGGATCCTGGTGGCTTTAAAAGAGCATGCTTAAGTTATGCCTTCTCAATAACTTATACGTTATAAGTTATAATTGTCCAAATCCCTGTTGGCATTTTCATTCACTTGAAGTGTACTAAGTATTATGTTCGTAACCTGTATTTAAATCAGGCTTTGTAATTATTTGAGTGACCGAGATCATGTAAGTGTACTATGTATTAATTTATTGATAACCACTGTATTACATATATATTTGATCAGTACTTAAATTAGGTTTTAAAATTGTTTGACTGATAGAGATCATGCAATGTTATTATTTTTATTGATTGTTATGAACCTGTCTGAGGACCACAGATGGAAATTAGCTATTAGCTATAATCTGGCATATTGCATCTCAGCTCTTTGCTGAGATTAATGTTTTTGTATGCATGGTCCTTCTATAAATAATTGTTTTTTTTAAACTTCAAAGCTAATGCAAGTCATAGCATCGCATGACAAAAGGGGTGAAAATGTGCGTGTCCATCCGGTGTTGTGTTTCAATCGCTAATAAATACCTGTGGCTAATGTGGAGACGTTTGTTCCGGGCATGAATGTCAATTTTAACCTTTTCTACTGAGGATAAAAGCAGGATTTCTGATAGAGTGGGAGGGTAGCTGAATAACTCCTACTGCAGCTTTACCCAGGATTCTCTCTGTTCAGCTCATGACAAGAAAGATAGCGCAGATGAAGAGATGACTACAAACAATGTTTCCGCATGTGAGGCCGTTTTGTAGTACCGCCAGTACCAGCTGGAATACCTCAGTGGACCAGGTGTAGAGTTCAGGTTGTTTGTTAATGCCTCCGTGAACAGCTGAGCATGGCCACTCTCGTGCTGACGGGTGGGCAGTAAAAACAATATGTTTTCGCTCTGTAAGCAGTCCGCCTCCTCCTCTCCTCCTCCTCCTCCTCTCCTCCCCTCCTCGGTGTAACCACATAGGTCTTTGTGTCCAGCCTTGCGAGGAACTGAGCACAGAGGCCCACAGAGCTCCACTTTCAAAGGCAACCTCTGATGTGGCCTTTCTGATCTCCACATGGCTCACTGACGTTGCTCTTACTGACTTGAAGGTTTTTTTTCTGTCTCAATCCTATTTACCCAAGAGTTCCCCCCACTTGCTCTCACACATGGATACTTATCTTTTCTTTGATTATCTGACTGACTTAAAACTGGCCTGCGTCGTGTTCGGAAGACTGCAATATCTTGACTGTCAGTGTTACCACTCCTTGAAGTTCAAAACTCTCTTGATACATACACACCCTTCCCCCCTCCTCGCTTAGTCCTCCCCCCCTTCTTCTTTGCGATGACATGTATGTGCTTATGGAAACCAGATGTGACTTGTTGCGATGGAAGAGAGACAGAAAAAACAAGAATTAGGTTGTGTGATACTTCATTAACAGACTGCAGGAGATGAATATGTGTGTGTGTGTGTGTGTGTG